CACAAAAACTTCATTTCCTGTTGAACTCTTTCTAACAGTCCACTTCTTTGGTGCCACTGGTGGTGGACTCGAGCAGATGTCCTGAGTTTATAATAGAGAAAAAATTCACCAAATAATTAAAAATGAATAGAATGCAACCATATATGTTTATATATAGCCACTGCTTAAACTTCTGAGAGTGTAGGCGACTGAACCCAAACCTCTCCAGATTTCGTGGGAGACAGGGGAGCACTTTTTTCTGGCTCATCAGTCTTAGGACTCATTTGAAGGAAGATTTGTTTTCTTGGCAGGGGAGTCGGACGTGGCGAGGGAGTCGGAAGCTTTGGCTGGAGAAAAGAGGGAGCATAATTGAAGGTGCTGCCACAATGTGACAAAGATAGTTATGTAACACAGAATAAGTTTATCAAAGTAGAACTGTGGTCTACAATTTCAATGGCCCCCTCCCTGAACCTACTTTTAGAGACCATGAGGCATGTTCATGATACAACATTGAGTCAAATCTAGTGATCTATACATTTTTACAGTGAAATTTGCCTCAAGATTTCTAAGGAACTACAAATCTGAACACATTATATTTCAATTCAGAGTCAGCTTACAGAGCTGAAATTCCAGACAACCAAACTGTTAATCTACCTGGTCAAGCCCGCCAAACAAGGCTGCTTACATCTCTGCAGCTAACACGCCCATTGTGGACTGATTTCACTTTTGCTTTGTGTGCAAATCTAATCTAATTCAAATTTTTTAATGATTCTGGCAACAAAACCTTTGTAGTTCTTTTGAAATATGTTGGAACAAATTCCAGATAGGTAGGATATTTTGACCAAAACAATATGCATGGCAGTTTGAGTAAAGGTTGTTGTCGTCTGAACTTAAATAAAATTCTATTTAAATTTCTTACCTGTGGCATTGTGTAACAGTGCCTGCTGTCTCTGTGTAACTACAGGATGCTGCACTTTGGCTGGTTGATCCACTAAATGAATGCTCATCACACAAACCAAACAGATTGCATGACTGTGACTGAAACGTCACGGCATGGTATCCATTCACCTTTTTTCATTCATTCTGTTGTTGGACTGGAAAATGTTGTTTTTAGGATAACAACACCTGCCACTTGTCGCAAGAAATATTAAAGGAAATCATTTAAAGGAACACTTTAGGAATACTGTGATGAATAAATAACAATTTTCTTTCACCACTTTTTAAAGACTTAGACATGAAATTGTTTTTTACTTTTATCAAAACCTTACTGACTTTGCAAAGGTTTCTGCAAAAAATGCAGGGATAATGCAGAGTAAAAAGGATCCAGACAGAAAAACTACATGTGATGGATTTATGTGAAAAATTGCTGAAATGGAGAAAAGCAAAATAATACTCGTGAAAACATACAGATCAGAAAACAGACAAAGAAAATATATACAACCTGAGAGCATAGCACCAACTACTGTAAGTCACACTACATACATTCAGCAGCCACTTTATTAGGTATACCTGTTCAGCTGCTCAATAATGCAAATACCAAATTAACCAATCATGAGTCAGTAATTCAAATCATTCAGGCATATAGACATGTTCAAGACAGCCTCATGAAGTTCAAACAGAGCATCAAGAAGTAAGGTATAATAGGCATGGTTTTTGGTCTGAGTGTGTCAAAAACTACTGGTCCAAAAAAAGAGAAATATCCAGAGAGCAGCAGTTCTCAGGGTGAAAATGCCTTGTTGATGTCAGAGACCAGAGAAGAATCACCAGAGCTGATAGGAAAGCAACAGTAACACAAATAACCAGCGATTATAAACAAACCATGCAGAAGAGCACAACAAATCTTACCTTGAAGCAGTTGGGCTACAGCAGCAGAAGACCACACTTGAAGCCACACATTAATTTGGACCCAAACCCTAATTTTCTTTTTAGGTCATTCAAACTTTTTTTCACAACCCAAGGTGTCCACACCTTATGATAGTGTGAAAAGGTAAAAAGGTTTATAGCATAAATAGGTTGAATGATAGGCAGAACTATTTG